TTTTAAAATGTTCTATTTGTTTCTGAGAGAGAGACCGCATGAGCAGTGGAGGGTCAGAGAGAGAGGGAGGTATAGAATCTGAAGCAGGCTCCAGGCTCTGAGCTGGCTGTCAGCACAGAGCTCGATGTGGAGCTCGAACCCACGAACTGTGAGATCATGACCTGAGCCGAAGTTGGATGCCTTAACCGACGAAGTCACCCAGGCGCCCCTATTTCTTTTTTCTTTTTCTTTTTCTTTCTTTCTTTCCTTTTCTTTTCTTTTTTTTTTTTTTTTACCATGAGATCATTTAAATGTATTTGCAAATTTTGATAAGGGAAAAGTGATTTACAACACGGGAAACTTCTTATAACAACCATAGACTTAAATACACTGCACTGTAGGTCACCTAGACTAGGTTAGCAAGAATGAACAGAGTTATAGATCCAAAAGGCAACCCCAAACACCTTCCTCAGATGGAGACTTTGGTAACTGTCTGTGGTCAAAACAAAACACCAATTCCTTTTCTTCACCATGCTGGATGGTCATTCCATCCATTTTTCTCCCGCAATGATGAGTCCATTTTAAATACTGAAGTATTATTATAATAATATATTATTATTATGAAGACACTCCAAATCCACAGAACAGCAGACACTTCCATTCTTGCATTTGCAAGTTGTGCAGGGAGATCCAGCCATTGTCCACACTGCAGGTGCCCCTATTTCAACAGAATTCAAATATTGTTCAAGTATTGGGCAGCCATGTGCTTCCAGGGAGGCTGGGCCCCTCCCCAGTCACAAGGGAGTGAACATTGATTAGATTAATCCAATTATAGTAATTTCACTATTGTTGCCATTATCATTAGTTTAGGAATAGGCAGTGGCAGAATTCTGGCCTATGAAATGTAAGAGGAAGTCTACTGTGAGACTTCTGAGAAAAGTTTATTTTTACTTGTGATAAACCATATAACAAAATACACCATTTTGGGTGGGGATGGACAAAATGGGTGAAGGTAGTATACACCCATTTTGTACAAAGTACAAACTTCCAACTATAAAATAAATAAGTCCTGGGGATGTCATGAACAACACAGAGACTATAGTTAACAATATTGTATTGTACATGTGAATATTGCTAAGAAAGTAGATCTTAACATTTCTCATGTCAAGAAAAAGTTTGGGGGTGCCTGGTTGGCTCAATGGGAAGAGCATGCGACTTGATCTTGGGGTTGTGGGTTTGAGACCCATGTTGGGTGTAGAGATTACTACTCTACATAAATAAACAAAACTTTTTAAAAACAGAAAGAAAGAAAAAAGTTTGTAACTATGTGTGGTGATGGATGTTAACTAGACTTATTTGGATGATTATTTCACAATATGTATTTATATTGGGTCATTAAGCTGTACACTTGAAACTAATGTATGTCCATTTCATCTTAATTTTTAAAATTTAACCATTTTTTAACCTTTGTAAAGTCTATATTTCTGTGGCATTAAGCACATTTACACTGCTGCCCAGTCATCACCACCATCCATCTCCAGAAAATTTTCATCTTTCCCAGATGAAACTCTGTACCCATTAAAATCCTGTACTCTGCATTCTCCCCTCTCCTCTGCTCCTGAAACCATCATCCTGCTTTTTGTCTCTATGAATTTATCTCCTCTAGGTACCTACTTCCTGTAAGTGGAATCGTACAATATTTGTCCTTTTGTGACTGGGAGGGAAGTTTTTCTAATGATAAAAAACACACACAGTAAAAATAGTCTGTCTTCATCCCTCATATTATTGAATCTTCCTGTAATGTCTGGTCGTGCAGCACTCACCCTTTCATGACCATGCAGGGAACCAGCCGCAGAGAGCAAGCCAAGACAGCAGAGCAGACAGATGAAAAGAACCTGTCACAATAGAAAATAGTATGAAAATTCCTCAAAAAACTAGAACCGAAACTAATGTGTGATCCAGCAATCCCACTTCAGGAGATATATTCAAAGAAAATGAATAGAGGATGTTGAGGGATCTGCACTCCCATGCTCACTGAATCATTAAATCACAATAGCCAAGTGATGGAAACAACCTAATTGTCCAGAAAGAAGGAAACCTTGCTGTGTATGACAACATGGAAGGACTGTGAGGGTGTTAATGCTAAATGAAATCATCCCAACAAAGGAAAATATGTCAGAGTATCACTTATATGTGGAATCTACATTCAAAGTCAAACTCAGAGAGTAGGAAAGTGGTTGCCAGGGGTGGGGAGTGGGGGAAATAGGGAGAGGTTGTTAAAAGGGTAAGAAGACAAACAAAAAACCCCACCAGTGAATTAACCTCACCTAGGATATTTCCATTGCTAATGTGCTTATTGTAAGGAGTAACTTTGCCTTATTGATTAAGCCTTTTATAGTTGGGCTTCTGCTCTTAAGGATTAACAGTTCAGTGAAGGATACTTCATATATCAGGTTCCTTTTTGCTGAGGTTTCCTCTGAAGCCCTTCATTTTTCTGGAACTAATATTGGTTTTCTTATGGTAGATCCTTGACAAGGAAATAAAAGAGAAGGAAGGAGAGAATAGTGGAGACTCTGATTTAACTTGGTGTCTCTGTCTTCTGCCCACTCAGAATAAACCATTGCGGAACCCTGTCCCCAGATTTAGAACAAGGCAGAGTAGAGTTCTGCTCTGGGATCAGAGCCTACTACCAATTCTACCCAGCGGTACTGTTTTCTCTAGGATGCTGCCTGCCTATCCAGATCCAGTAGTTGTTTTTTTCTCCCCACTTTCATCAACTGCCTCTTGTCTGTGTAGACCTAAACAGTATCTGCTGATCACTCCATCCTTGATTGCCTCCCTGGATTGCCTTTTGTCTATCCAAACTTTAGTGATTTCCTCATCTCTTCTGCCAGGCTCATCTCTCAGACCTGCCTGGTCCTGTCATATTGCTTAACTAGAGCAGTTTTAGGTTCACAGACAAAAGAGTGGAAAGTATAGCAGAAAGTGTATCCCTACCTTTATAGAGCCTCCCACCCCCCACTATACACACCCTACACCACAGTGGTTACATTAATTAGTTCTGATGAACCTACATTGACTCATCATGATCACCCATAGGGCACAGTTTACATTAGGGTTCACACTTGGTGTTGTCCATTCTATGGGTTTTGACAAATGTATAATAACATGTATCCACCAATGCAGCATCATACAGAATAGTTTCACTGTCCTAAAAACCCTCTGTGCTCTGCCTGCTCACCTCTTCTTTCCTCCCACCCCCAAAACTTTGGTAGCCATTGATCATTTTACTGCCTCCATAGTTTTGCCTTTTCCAGAATGTCACATAGCTGGAATCATACAGTATGTAGTCTCTTCAGATTGGCTTCTTTCACTTGTACTATGCATTTAAGTTTCCTCCATGTCTTTTCATGGCTTGATAGCTCATTTCCTTTTAGTGCTGAATAATATTTCATGTCTGGATGCGCCATAGTTTCTTTATTCGCTCACCTACTGGAGGATGAGTATTTCCAAGTTGTGGCAATTATTAATGAAACTGCTATAAACATCCATGTACAGGTTTTTGTGTGAGCATAAGTTTTCACTTTATTTGAGTAAATTCCAAGGAGCATGATTTCTGGATTGTACAGTAAGAGTATGTTTAGTTTTGTAAGAAACTGCCAAATTGGGGGTGCCTGGGTAGCTCAGTCGGTTAAGTGTCTGACTCTTGATTTTGGCTCAGGGCATGATCTCACAGTTGGTGGGTTCAAGCTCCACGTCAAGCACTGCACTGACAGTGTGGAGCCTGCTTGGAATTCTCTGTCTTCCTCTCTCTCTGTCCCTCCTTCGCTTGTTCTGTCTCTCTCTCTCAAATTAATAAACTTTAAAGAATTAAAAGAAAGAAAGAAAGAAAGAAAGAAAGAAAGAAAGAAAGAAAGAAAGAAAGAAAGAAAGAAAGAAACTGCCAAACTGGGGGCACCTGGATGGCTCAGTCGGTTAAGCATCTGACTCTTGATTTCGGCTCAGGTCGTAATCTCTCACAGTTCATGGGTTCGAGGCTCTGTGCTGACAGTGCAGAGCCTGCTTGGGAGTCTCTCTCCCCCTCTCTGCCTCTACCTGACTCATGCTCTATCACTCTATAAATAACTAAATAAACTAACAAACATTAAAAAAAAAGAAATTGCCAAACTGTCTTCCAAGGTGGCTTCACCATTTTGCATTTCTACCAGCAGTGAATGATAGTTTTTGTTGCTCCACATCCTTGCCAGCATTTGGTGTTGTCACTGCTTTGGATTTTGGCCATTTCAATAGGTGTGTAGTTGTGTCTTATAATTTTAATTTCCATTTCCTTGATGACAAATGGTGTTGAACATCATGGCTTGCTTGCCATCTGTATATCTCCTTTGGTAAAGTGCTGTCCAGTGCTTTGCCCTTTTTAAAATCAGCTTGTTTCTTATTGTTGAGTTTTAAGGGTTCTTTGCATATTTATCAGTTGTGTCTTTATCAAATATTTTCTCTCACTTTTTTATAACCAAGCTGCAGCCTGGATTCCTGTGTGCTTTCTGTTGCAGGGTATAGATCTTTGAAAGAATGCCGTGTTCAAAAGTTAAACAGCAGTGCCAAGAAATAAATAGTACTTTGCTCTGCTAAAACAAACATCTGGAAACAAGCATCTAATGCAGCAGTGGGTTTTTGCTGTTTGTTGTAGAGTTGAATCAATTACTAATAATTGAATACTTTGAGTACTATGCTTTGAGTGCAAAACTCAAAGTGCTGAACTTGAAGTACAGACACTAATAGAGTAATGTTATTTCCAAAGCCTTCTAACTCAGGGGAAAAGATCTAGTTTTTGCCAGCGGTTGTTACCATTAGTAAATTTACTAATGGTCACCTTACCCCAAGATTTCTCGTAACAGTAACACATGTGAATGGAAAGAGGATTTAAAATGATACTTTGGCAGGGCTGCCAACCTGGTTTTGTCCACTTTGCACTTTGCTCATAGTGCAATCCTCAGGAAGATGCATTCACCCCATATACTTACCTACACCAATACATCAGAGAAAGGAGTCCCTCAATTTGTGAATTCATACAGAGCACAGAAGGATTCATCTACAATGTCTGAGCTTGTATCCTAGAAAGAGAATTCCATACATTTTATCAGTTCCATCACCAGACGCAAACCTGTACCCCGCCCAGTCACCATATAAAAACAAGATCCAGATAGCAGTGCTGATTCTAGAAATCACTCCATTTGCTTGCAACTGCTTGTATTTTCTTCCTTCTCTCTTGTTTCTAGATTCCAGTTTCTAAAACCTGGTTTAGTCTCCTGCAGACCCAACTATTCTTGGCTCTGATCAGATTGGCACAAATTCTTGTTCTACCGCTTCTTAGCTCTGTAAGTTTCTGCAGAAGACTTAATATCTCTCGATCCCTATTTCTAGATTTATAAAATGGGGATCACAGGAGTAGCAAAAAAAACCCTTGGAGGAGTTGAGCCTCAGTTACTCACAGAAGGAACTTACGGTTCATGTACTCCTCTGTGTCAAGTTCCTTCCTTTCTCTGTCCTATTCTTCTTCTGTACAGTGTGCTTCCTGGAATCGCCTCAAGTGTTATTAATGTGAATTTGTGCAGTTCTCATCTTACGTCTTCCTCTAGGGTAAACCAAATTAAGGCTACACCCCTACTGTCTGTGTGACATTTTTTTATTCAAGCATTAGTTTCAAAGAACCTTGGCAGATCCTATTAATTAGATCAACTATTAACTTCAAAATGTGTTAGTTTCAATTTTATTTTAGAGATGTAGGCATATTTGTAGATAGTGGAGTTCTTATGGAAGCTTCCATTAAGGAACTGATAAAAAAAACATACTAAAGGTTTACCTACTTCAAATCTACTAAATATTTGCAAATTAATAAGACATTTTATTTTATTTTATTTTATTTTTGAGAGAGAAGAGTGTGCACATGAGCAGGACAGAGGGAGAGAGAGAATCTTAAGCAGGGGCTTGATCCCACAACTCTGTTATCATGACCTGAGCTGAAATCAAGAGTTGGACACTCAACCATCTGAGCCACTCAGGCACCCTAATAAGACATTTTAAAAATTGAAGTATAAAATCTACATAGAAAACTGTTATGTCATAAGCTTGATGACTATGATATGATATAATAAGAAATTTATATTTGGTCTTTGTCCCAGTTCTGGGCACAGAGCTAATCAAACTCTTGTAACTTCTTAAACGATAAGAACCATAGGAACATCTTCTGTTATATACATATGTTTCGTCCCCAGCTTCTAAAACAGGTGAAAGGAGAGTCTTTCATTATAATATTTGGGTTTTACTAATGAAAACCCTAGTTACTGAAATAGCTGTAGAGGGATAAAAGTGAAGGAGTGCTTTTTGTTGTTTATAACAAGCCCCTTTCGACCACACCTGAGTTTATGGTAATGAGGCAAATTTTTTTTATTTTTTGATTTAAAAATTTTTTTTTAATGTTTATTTATTTTTGAGAGGGAGAGACAGACAGAACATGAGCAGGGGAGAGGCAGACAGAGAGAGGGAGACACAGAATCTGAAGCAGGCTCCAGGCTCTGAGCTCTCAGCACAGAGCCTGACACGCGGCTCAAACCCACAGACGGTGAGATCATGACCTGAACTGAAGTCGGACACTTAACCAACTGAGCCACCCAGGCGCCCCATTGAGGCAATTTTTAAAAGCCCCTAAGGATGAGGGCTGGTTGCGAGTGAACTGACCATGTGACTAGAGTTGGAATTTTCAGCCCTACCCCTCAACTTCTGGAGAGGGAAGAGGGCTGGAGTTAAATTTTTTTTTTTTTAAGTTTATTTATTTTTTGAGAGAGAGAATGAGCAGGGGAGGGTCAGGGAGAGAGAGAGAGAGAGGAAGAGAGAGAATCCCAAGCAGACTCTGCACTGTCAGCACAAAGCCTGATGTGGGTCTCAAACTCACAAACCATGAGATCGTGACCTGAGCCAAAATCAAGAATCAGAGGCTTGATTGACTGAGCCACCCAGGCACCCTTGGAGCTTAAGTTAATCACTAACAGCCAACAATTTAGCCAAGCATGCCTACTATAATGAAACCTCCATAAAAATCCTAACCAAAAGCATTTGGAGAGTTTCTGGGTTGGTGAACAAGAACACAGCCATATGTCAAGAGAGTGGTTACCCCAAACTCCACAGAGACAGAAGCTCCCGTGCTCAGGACCCTTCCAGACCCCACCTTAGGTATTGATCATCTGGCTCTTCATTTATATTCTTTAATATATTTTTTGTAATTAGCAATAATGAATAAGCAGTTTCCCTGAGTTCTGTGAGCTATTCTAACAAATTATCAAATATGAGGAGGTGGTAATGGGAAACCCCTGATTTATTGTAAGTCAGAAGTACATGTGACAACATGGGACTTTTGATTGGCTTCTGAAGTGGGGAAAGTCTTGTGAGACTAAGCCCTTAACATGGGGGGTCTGTGCTAAGTCTGAGGAGTTAGTTTTAGAATTATATTAAATTGTAGGACACCTAGCCAGGATCTGCCAAGGACTGGAGAATTGTTTGGTGTGGAAAATCCCACACATTTGGTGTCAGAGTATTGGGTATTGAGATGAAAGGGTGTTTTTCCTTTGAATGATTTATCACAAAGTGAACACTCTCATGTAACTTTAACCCAAATGGAGAAATAAAATATTACCAACATGCCAGCATAGGCACGGACCTCATGACCCGCCTGAACTATTGTTCTCCCTCTCTTCCCAAAAAAAAAAAAAAAAAAAGATAACTACCATGTCTCACTATACATTAGTTGTGTCTATTTTTGACCTTTTTGTAAATGGAATCATATGGTATATATTTTAATAGCTTTATTGAGATATAATTCATATATCATATAATTGACTCATTTTAAATGTGCAGTTCAAGAGTTTTTAGCATATTCACAGAATTGTGCAACCATCACCACAATTTTGAACATTTGCATCACCACAAAAAGAAACCCTGTACTCATCAGCAGTTACTCCATATTCCTTCTAATCCCCCCGCCCCCTGCCTCAGCACTAACAACCATTTCTCTGCATCTTGTCTCTGTAGATTTGTTTATTCTAGACATTTCATATAAGTAGAATCATACAATATAGTCTTTTGTGACTTCTTTTACTTAGCAGAATGTTTCCAAGGTTCATCCATATTATAGCATATATCTACTTCATTCCTTTTTATTGTTAAATAATATCCTACTATGTGGTGATGCACTAAATTGTACCCACCCCCCCAAATTCATATGTTAAAACATTTACCCCAATGTGACTGTATTTGGAAATAGGGACTTCTAAGAGGTAATTTAGGTTATATGAGGTCATAAGGGTAGTGGTCTAATCCAATAAGGCTAGTGTCCTTATAAGAAAAAGAGACACCATGGGGTGCCTGGGAGGTTCAGTCGGTTATGTGGCTGACTTCGGCTCAGGTCAAGATCTCGTGGTTCGTGGGTTTGAGCCCCATGTCGAGCTCTGGGCTGACAGCTTGGAACCTGGAGCCTGCTTCGGATTCTGTGTTTCCCTCTCTCTCTACCCTCCTCTGCTCATGCTCTGTCTATCTCTCAAAAATAAATAAATGTTTAAAAAAATTTAAAAAGAAAAAGAGACACCAGGGATGTGCATGCACAAGGGAAAAAGCCGTATGAGGACCCAGTGAGGAGGCAGCCATCTGCAAGCCAAGGACTGAGGTCTTGGGAGAAACAAACCTACAAACACTTTGATATTGGATTTCTACCCTCCAGAAATGTGAAACATAAATTTGTATTTTTTAAGCCATCCAGTCTCTGGTATTCTGCTTTGGCAGCCCTAGGAGGTTAATACACGAACAAATGGAAATTCTCGAGCTGAAATGTGCAACATCTGAAATTAAAAATGCACTGGATAAATTAGGAGCTAGAGATGAAAAAGAAAGGATCAATGGATCTGAAGACAGGGCAATAAAAACTCTTTAAACTGAAATACAGAGAAGTAAGGATGAAAAATAATTAACAGAGCCTCAGGGATCTGTGAGACAATATCAAGAGTTCTCACATATCTATATTAGAGTTCTAGCAAGAGAGGGAGGGAGGTAGAAAAAAGATTTGATGAAAGTAATATTTCCAAATTTGATGACATAGGTAATTTTAAGAAGTTCAAAGATGCCCAAGCATCACATATATAAGGAAAAGCATACCAAAGGTGACTGTAGTCGACGATACTGTTGTGTAATAGAAATTTGCTAAGAGAGTAGAAATTAAATGTTTTCATTGGGAAAAAAGGAGAACTATGTAAGGGTATGTAAGGTGATGGATGTGACAACCACATGAAGAGAATCCTTTAACAATGTGTGTGTATATCAAATCATCACACTGGGCACTTTAAATATCTTACAATTTTATTTGTCAATAATGCTGGAAAAAAAAAAAGAAAACCATACCAAAGCACATCAAAATCAAATATTTGAAAGATAATGATGAAGAGAACATCTTAAAAGCACCAAAGAGAGGTACCTGGATAGCTTAGTTGGTTAAGTGTCCAACTTTAGCTCAGGTGATGATCTCACAGCTCATGAATTAAAGCCCTGTGTCAGGCTCTGTGCTGATAGCTCAGAGCCCAGAGCCTGCTTCAGATTCTGTGTCTCTCTCTCTCTCTGCCACCCCCCCATACACTGTCTCTCTCTTTCTCTCTCTCAAATTAAATAAACATAAAAAAACAACACCAAAGATAAAAAGAATAATTACATACAGAGAAAAGTAAACAATACTGCTGATTTTGCATTAGGAACAATACAAGCCAGGGGAAATTGGATTGTCATTTGAAAACAATAAAACAAAACAAAAATGAAGGGAAAAAACCTACCAACCTACAATTCTCTATCCAGCAAAAATAACCTTCAAAATTGAAGGTGAAATAAAAAGACACTCAAAAACAAAACAGATAAGATTTGACTAGGATGGGCCTTTCCTCCAGTAGGACTCGCATTGTCTTAGTCCCGTCAGACTGCTATTATAAAAAATACCTTAGACTCAGTAGCTTATAAACACAGGAATTTATTTCTCACAGTTCTGGAGGTCAAGACACCCGCATCGTTGCCTTCTGGTAAGGGC